GGCCGCCGCCGCCGCCCCGCCTGCGCGCACGCGCCCGCGCACGCCGCCCATTGGCCGAGGCTCGCCCACATGCAAATGTCTTGCCGTCACGTCTACCCATTGGCCCGCGCGGTGCCGTGGGCGGGCCCCGGCTTTCCGGGGCGGCTCCCCTGGGTCCCACAGGCGCTTCTGCTGCGGCCCGAGTGAGCGGGAGCCCGGCGCCCGCGGGGCACTGTACCCCGCGGGGCCTGGCCGGGGGCCCAGCGGAGGCGCTGGTCCGTGTTCGAATCCCCGCCTCGGAAGCAGCGGCTACGGGGGCGCCGGCGCCCGGTTCTCCTTGCGGGGCTGCGGCGTTCATGGTCAGCCTCCGTGCAGCCTGAGTCTTTAGGCTCCAGGGCACGTCTCCTGTGGGGTGTGGGTCAGTGCTAGCGGCTGGGGTGCGGGGTGGGGGGCTGAAGCTGTGCCGCCTGCCCTCTCGGGGGGGCGTTCAGGTTGCAAAGGGCCATCCCCTCGAGGAGCCCCTAAGACTCCCTGGAATGGTGGGTGGTGCCACCCGCCTTCCCTCACTGACTGAAGAAGGCACCTGTCTGGAATCACCGGCAGGTCGGGGCAGTGCTAGGCCTTCAGTCCCAGGCAGAGTCTTGCACTTCCCTCAGCAGCAAAGTGACTTTGAGCCTTGGTGGTGCCTAGGCCTCATCTTCCTCTTCTGTACCCAGGTGCCCCTGACTTCGGAGCAGGTGGCTCCGTGCTCAGGTGCTGCCTTCTGGAGCCCCCAGGAGCCCACCTGTGTCTTTGGGGGGACAGGGTCCTGCCGCCATCTCTAGGCCACTCTTCTGGTCTGTCCAGCTTTCTGCCTGGGACAATGACTTCAGGGTACTGTCAGGATTAAGCTGGCTCCGTGACCGGGCATCCCCAGGCTGCAGATCTGGGCACTTGCTGGTGGGCTCGCCCACACAGCTCAGAGAGTGCTTCTGTGTGTAGCTGCTCAGCACACACCATTACCCAGCGTATATTCTGTGCCCATGCTGGAAAGGGCGTGGGGCGGGGCAGGGCAGACACCATGAGAGAGAGCTTCCTGTCCCAAGAGAGGCCTACTGTATGGCCCGGCTCCCCTTTCGAACCCCATACCCCCCTTCACAGTGGCCATGTCCCTCCTACTGATCTTCATTTGCCACCATGCGTAGGGTCACCCAGTGTCCAGCCTGACCTCTTTGCTCTTCCCTCTGCCTTTCCAAATTGGTCTTCAAAGCCTCTCCCAAGCCTGGGAGGGAGTGGACAGTTTCCCATCAGGTAGAAAGTGGGGCTTGAACATGTGCCTCCAGGTGTTCATGGGCAGGAGCACTGCACTCTGAAGGCCCCTCTTGGGGAGTCCCTCTGCCACTGCTGCCTGCCGATGCCCAGGGAGCAGGGAACTAAGAGCCTCAGCTCCAGCTTCAGCCTCCTCGGCCACCTGCCAGCTGGGTGACCTTAGGTGAGTTACTTACCCTCCCCGAGCTTCAGCTTCTCTGTCTGTAAAGTGGGGGTGCTAGCTGTGTGTGCCTCGTGGGGTGCTGGTAAGGGAGGAGTGAGACCAGGGCTGTAAAGTGCTGTGCCGAGGGGATCATGGAGGGGCAGAGTGACGGAGGAGTGTGATCTGCTCTTGCTTCTTGGCCCCACATCCATGCTTCTCTGCAGCGTGGTGACAGAGCCGGGCCCTGGAGTGTTGTTTCTCCTTTGCCAGTTGGCACTGAGTGACGTTTTGAGGGTGTTGGGGGGACCCCAGGAGGAACGTGGTCTTCTTGCAGGGTCTGTTGTGCACTCTCCCTGGGGTCCCACCCCATGTGGCTTCTCCACTGCCCAGGGTACCCCTGAGCCAGCCCTGGCCTGTAAGTCAGATGTGAATGGAGCACCCAGCTTTTATTTGATTTCGGGAAAATCAAAGCAACTTTTAACAGGAGGTTTCACACACAGTTACACACAAACGTGCACATACACACCCCTACACCTCCCTCTTGGGAACTTAGTCCCTTTGGGGTTTGGGCCGGCCACAGTGAGCAAGGCGGAGTGGTGTTCCCATGGTCCGGCCTGTGCTTCCAGTTTGCCCCAGGCCTCACCCAGCCCAGTTATTGCCCGGTCTCCTGCCTTTGCCTTGCATCGGGCAGTTCTTAGATTTCTCAAACTTCATGTGCAGGTTTGGCCCCAAGACCCGGATTCAGTGGGTTTGGGATGGGGCCCGGGAACCTGCTTAAGCTCCTCTCACAGAGGGTGCTCTGAGACTCACCCTCTGGAAGTGAGAATGGTTGAGGGAGCAGGATATCCCTGAGCGCTAAGGGTGCAGTCCTGGGCCAGCTGCCCTGGGGCCCTGCAGGTGGCCGAGCGGTCTGCGGCAGATATGGGGCCTGGGCCTCAGGAGTAAGCCAGTGAGGAGGGGACTCTGTGGGGGGACTGGTACGCATTTCCTGTTCTTTTCCCTGCAGCCCTCCCTAGAGGTGCCCCTCTGCAAACGGGGCTGGTTCTGTTCCCCAGGCCTGGATGCATCCCAGAGTCTCTCAAATCACCTGCGGAGGCAGGTGGAGACCCAGCTGACCCCTGGGTCTGCCAGCTGAACATGCCCTCTTTGACACCTTTGACCCTGGGTGTCCCACCTCTGCTGGGGTGCCCCACACCCTCACCACCCAGCGTGTTTGCGGGACTCCACGAGGGGGCGCCTGAGACCACCGCTCGTGCTCCGCGCCCTGGCAGGGAAGGGGTCGCCAGGCAGCAGGGCCCTGGGAGTCAGGGAAGCCAGTGGAGTTTGCGATGGTGAGAGGTGGGGGCACTGCCCAGGAAGGGTTGCCTATGAGCAGCCGGGGTGGGGGCTGGGCTGGGCTGGACTGCAGCCGGAGTCACCCCTGCCTCCCCGAACCCTACTTCTCCCAAGGGAGCAAATGCTGGGTGTGGGAGGGGCAGCAGGAGCAGCTGGTCACTCCTGAGACGGGTAGAGATGGAGGAGTTCAAATGACCAGCCAAAGACCCCCTCTTGGCCTTCCTAGCCCCTGTGGCCACGGGCCAGGACCCAGTCCCCTCCTGCCCTGTGCTGGGCTGTCTGCTGGGCTGGTGGCCAGGTGGGGAGCCATGTCCGGGCAGGCTGTGGTGCCCCTGGGAGCAGCCTGCTAAGTCTCCTCCCAGCTGCTGTTGCTGGGTGAGGGGCTGCTGTCCTCAGGGTGCCTTGGGCTCCCGGACCCCTCATGTGCTGTCAGGAGCTCCCCTGGATTCCTTCTCGCTGGTGGCAGCTTCTTGGAGGCTGTGGAGAGTGGAGCACAGTTAGGCGGGAGCACAGCAGTGGGCTGGCAGCAGTCGGTTCTCGCTCACTGCTATGCAGGGTTCTTGCCCAGGGCCTCGTGGACAGGATTTAGGCGAGGGGAGTGAGCACTTGTGAGCCCACACTGGCGGAGTTGACTTGTTCCTGGAAGCAGGAGACACCCGGGCAGGGCTGGTCTGATTGAAGGGTGAGCGTGGGCACCTGGCAGGAGGGTGGGCTCTCTGCAGGTGTGTGACCCTGCAGACCATCTGGCCCCAGTGCCCGAATACCTTGCTGAAGGTCCGGGACCTTTTGGATAAATCGAGCTTCTGGGGAAATGCTCTTAGGGTGCCCAAGGCCCTGGCGGGGTGCCTCCATGGGCCTGGGGTTCAGGGGAAGACCCCTGCAGGAAGGTCCTGCTGAGATGCTGGGCCCTAGGCCCATCTCTGATGCAGAACAAGCTCAAGTTCTGGGTCAGAAGAGTCAAGTAGGAATCCCGACCCCATGCCCCAGCTCTGTGAGCTTGGGCAGGTCATCTCACTTCTCTGAGGGCTAGTTTTCCCAGCTATGAAACAGCGATGACCATCCCTGGGCAGGATGGTGAGCCCCAAAGGCAGTGGTTACTGTTTATCTCCACCTTGAACCTCCACCCAGGTTATCTCCACCTTGAACCTCTGCACGGACGCTGCCCTTGGCGCTGAGTGGTGCCAGCCACAGGCTGGGTCAGGGCCCTGTTCTCACTGACCAGCAGTGTGTGTGTTGCAGCATCCGGGTACCTGCTTGGGAGCCCCCGTCTTGGCCCAGCGGGGAGGACCGGGGAGAGCTTGGCTCCGGGGGCGGGGGGGCGGATGCCCCAGCACCCCTGTGGACTGTGGCCACCAGGACAGTTTCCCAGCATGCCCAGCAGGAAGTGGCTTGAAATAAGACAGGTGCGCTGGCCTCCTCCACCGTGTGCTCGAGCAAACACAGGCCACTGTCACTTTCCCGGCAACAATGGCATATTGTGGTGGCCACAGCCCAGCCTGCCTGTCGCGGGCCCGCTTGCACAAACACTGGGGTGGCATCCATTAGGAGCTCAGGCCTTCACAGGCGCCTGGAGCCCTGCGGAGCTGCCTCTGCGGCCAGAGAAGGAAGCGGAAGGTCACGCTGATCCCCTCAGGCCAGCCCGCTGCCTGGCGGGGAGGAGCCCACAGGCACCACCCTTGGCAAACATCTGAGCAGCCCCCAGTGCCTCAGCCGGAGCAAACACCTCCACACCCAGAGGGCTGCACCCTCCTGCTCCTCCTCTTCGAAGGTGGATGGGGGTCCAGGAGTCCCCCCACCACGAGGGAAGGGCAGAGTGGCAGGGCTTCAGGGCCCCCAGGCCTGGGGGCTGCTTGTGGCCCAAGAGGCCCCTCCGCCCTGATGACAAGGACGGTGAGAACCACTGTCCTCAGCCTTATTCCGCGGAAATCTCACGCTAGCTCTGGTATTGCCCCCCTTTCTGGGGGGAAACTGAGGCTCAGGTTGACGGGACTGGTGCGGGCTACATAGTGAGGCTGAGAAGAGCCAGAATCCACGCTGTCCTGACCTGGGTCCCTCCTCTCAAGGGGTTTGTGCCAGGAGAGGTTCAAGGGCTGGTTTCTGGTTCCTAGCAGCCAGAAAGGTGGGGTGGGGGCATTGTGTTTTGGCTGCCACCCGCCCCCCATGGCCCCGGCCGCCGTACCTTTGCACCATGGGCTGGAGGGCCGCTTCCTCTTCTGTGGCAGCCCTTGGCTGCGCTCCTTGGTGCAGGAGCACCTGGACCCCTCCCCTGGCGTGCTCGGCTTGGCCCCCACCTCGGAGCTCAGGCCCACCTAAGGGATGTGGGTGTGGTCAGGAGAGGACCTGCCCCCAAGCCTGGGGCAGCCCTGGCTCAGTGGCCCCACCAGAGTGTGTGGCCGGGGACCCACCTCGTCCGAGGGGTCCAACTCGTCCAGCTCGTCTGACTCCAGCCCCTGCACTTGGGCCTTGCTGAGTTCTGCAGGACGCAGGGTGTGGGTCAGGCCAGGCTGGGGGCCCTGGAGCCTAACAGAAGCATAGACCTTTCTAATGGGCCAGACTAGGAGTGACAACTGAAGGAAACTGAGGCACAGAGGGACTGTACCTCAGTGTCTCCCTTACTTTCTGCAATGACCCCGCCAGCCGGGCTGTCCCCAGGCTTGGTTGCTCTGTGACGGGGAGCTCACTACCTGCCCGGAAGCCCTAATTGCTAGGATGCTCTTCCCTTCACTGCCTATGATCAGAGATGTGCCTGCCCTGGGCCCCCACCTCTTCTCTGGGTCTGTAGCTGGGGTGCCAAGCCCTAGACCCAGGGTTTGGCGGGGCAGCCAGGGGACTGAGCTGGGTCCTAAGACAGGTCCCCCCACAGCTGATGCTGACCACTGCCCCTCCCTTCCCACTATGGCACCACTTCCTGGGTTCTCAGGACCCCAGGTACTCACCCTTACCTGGGGGGCCATCAGCATCACGCCTGTGTGGGTTGGGGGTAGATTTTGGCTTCCCTTTCCCCTCAGCTCCTGTCCCACTTGAAGAGGGCGTGTTTGAGTGGGGCCCTGTTAGAGGTTGGGAGGGATCCTGGGGGGAAACAAGTAAGTGGCTTGAATTCACCTGAGGCAACTCCCTGCCCCCAACCCAGTGTTGGGAAAGGCCATGAGACTCTGGCTCAGCCCCGGGCCGCCGCTGGAGGGCTAGCCATCTCCCCTCTAGTGCGAAATCAGGCTTTCTCCCAGGGACCGGCCTGATGGCGGAGAGGGAAGCACAGCCAGGGCCCTGGTGGGATGCTGGCCTGGGCTGGGGGCATGTGGAGGCCAAGAGCAGGGGGTGGGCCCCTTACCGCCAGAGCGGCGGACCCTTCTGGCTCTGGAGCTCTGGCTTCCTTGGTACCGTTGCTGAGTCCCC